CTCCTTGTCAGCTATGTCCAGGCATCTTGCGGTCCCAGGCCAGGCGTCCAGCTCTCCCCGCGTCCCCTTGATCTCCGGGGTTGGGAAGGTCCGGCCTCAGGACGCGGTCCAGCTGTCCAGCGGCCAGCACCCGGGGGCAGGATGCCTGCGGAGAAGCGCGGAGTGCGCAGGCGCGGCCCCGCCCAGCCGCGCGCGCCGGGGCTTTCCCCGCTGACGCAGCGGAAGCGCTGCCCATATATGGGCCGATTCTGCCCAATGACGCGCCGGCGGTCTCTGGGCAGATTCCGGGAATCCCCTCCCCCGCTCTGCCGGGCAGGGCCGCGGCGCCGGGAAGGGGGCTGGGATTTTCCCCGGCGGGCGGCTGCCCGGGCCCGGAAAGCCCCAGGCCTGGGTCCAGAGTGCCCGCGGTGGGCGGGCCGTCCGCCGCGTCGCCGACGCCGTCCATCCCACCCCCGCCAGGAAGGGCGGCGCCCGCCGGCCAGTTTCCCCTCCCGGGTGCCAGGCCTGGAGCGGGGCGGCTGCCAGGTCTGCTCCTGCAAGGGCGGCTGCTCTGGCCGCTGGGCGCCGCCACCGCCCTGCAGCTGGGACGGGGTGCGGGTGCACCCCGACTTGGTCTGGCTGGCTCCGACCTGGAGGTTACCAGGATAGAGGACAAAAACACCCAGATGGGGGCGGCAGGTGGCCTGGTGGTTAGGGACGCTGGACTCCACATGGCTGACCACGGTTCAAGCCTCAGGCCTAGCACCTTGGCTTTCTCACTGTCCATCTCTCTGTCTCAGTCTTCCTCTGATGAAGTTAAAACAAATAGGGGACCAGTAGTAGGTGGCATGGTAGTTAAAGACACTGGACACTCCTACATGACCAACCATGGTTCGAGTCTCGGACCTAGTGACTTGCTATCTCTCTCTCTCTCTCTGTGTATGTGTCTGGTCAAATTAAAATAAATGAATGGATGAATAAATTAAATAATTCCTTCAAAAAATTAAAACAAATAATAGGGACTATCAGGTGGCCTGGTGATTAAGGCACTGGACACTCCCATATGGCCAGCCGTGGTTCAAGTCCCGAACCTGGTGGCTTGCTTTCTCACTTTCCCTTTCTCTCTCTGTATCTCTGGTCAAATTAAAATAAATAATAACTAACTAACTAACTAAGTTAAAATAAAATAACTTTTAAAAAAGGAAAAAAGCACTCAAAGCAACTAGGCTATGGCATGAGGTAGGTAGAATCATTGCTAACTCTGGGGCCAGCAATTGGTGTGATGGTTAGGGGCTCTGGACTCCCACATGGCTGACCACAGTTCCAGTCCTGGACATGGCAGCTTGTACTCTCTGGTCAAATTAAAAAATAAGTAAATAAATAAGTAAAGTAAAATAAAATAATTATTAAAAAAGAATTGCTAACTCATTTACCAACTACTGATCCACCAGGCCACTGGCCTGGACTGCCCCTGACAGTAAACGATCCACATGATTCGGAACGGTGGTTAAGTGCAGGCAAGGAAAAACAGATCAACGAGGTGGTGACTGTCCACTGAGGTAAACTGCTTTGCAGAATGGAAAGGACTGAGAGTCCAGACTTAACTACGAGAGTTGTCTTTATTTTTTTCGTTCTTAATAATTATTTAATTTGAGGCCGGCAGGTGGTGAGGTGGCTCAAGGCACTGAACTCGCACATGGCCAACCGCGGTTCGAATCCCAGACCTGGTGGCTCGCTTTCTTTCTGTCTTGCTCTTGCTTTCACTCTCTCTATCTTCCTCTCTGCCCCTCTCTAATCAAATTAAATAAATAAACTGGCACCTGCAGGTGACGTGGTGGTTAAAGGCGTTGGATTCCCACGGGGCCGACCATGGTTCGAGTCCTGGATCTGGCAACTTGCTTTCTCGGTTTCCCGTTCTCTCTCTCTCTCTCTCTGTCTCTGTCTGGTCAAATTAAAAAAAGAATACTAAATAAATAAATCTTTTAAAAATTAATTCATTTCAAAACAGAATGATTTTAGTGAACTTTATTTATATTTGACCAGAGAGGGACAGAGCAAGAGCAAGAGAGAGAAAGTGAGAAACCATGTCACCAGGTGTGGGACTCAAACCGCAGTCAGCCCTGTGAGAACCCATCACCCTTAAACACCACGTCGCCTGCTGGCCCCACCAGGGGAGTTTTCAATAGATTTTTTTTTTAATATTTTGATTGATTTATTTATGTATTTATTTTATTAGAAAGACACAGAGAGATGGGACCAGCAGGTGGCATGGTGGTTAAGGCGCTGGACATTCCCACATAGCTGACCATGGTTCAAGTCCTGGACCTGGTGGCTTGCTTTCTCACTCACTCTCTCTCTCTGTCGTCTCTTTCTGGTCAAAATAAAGTAAGTAAATGAATAAATAAAATTAAAAATAAATAATTATTTAAAAAGAAAGAAAGAAAGAAAGACACAGAGAGAGAGAGAGAGAGAAAGCAAGCCACCAGATCTGAGACTCGAACCGTGGTTGGCCATGTGGGAATCCAGCGCCCTTATGCACCACGCCACTTGGCGGCCCCGAGTTTTCAATAGATTTAAAGGAAAGAGACTTTAGGCAAATCCTGGGTCAGTGGCTCAGGGGAGAAGAAACAGCACGTGCAAATGTCCTGTGGCCAGACAGGATCAGTCCGTGAAAAACCAGGAAGAAGCGAGTGTGCCTTGCACAGAAGGCGCCCTGACGGGTGGGCGAGGTCGAGGAGACCACCAGGGACCGTGGGGGAAGAGTGTAGACTGAATTCCCAGCGAGAGGACTGACGCTCCACTCGGAGGGAAGTACCCAGCTGACGTTATTCAGTGACCGTGGAGGGAACAAGCATGTCAGCTCTACCCTGTAGAATACGGGGCTTGGAGTGGCAAAACCGCTTCCCTGAACACGCTCAGTAGCAAAAGGCACCCCTGAAAACAGCTTTGTTCCTGACTCTGGCCTCCTTCCAGCCTGTACCTAGGCCTGACCAGCCCACGCCAGGGCAGACAGGCAGTGCTCCCATTCCGGGGTGGGGCAGAGTTCACCACAGAGACTGAGCACGTCGCTCAGGTTCCCAGTGTGGACGGGTCTCCACCCACTTCCCTATAAGACTGGGTTGGGCTGGGCTCCTTCCAGCCCGAAGCAACCATCCTGGGAACCAGTTCCTGGGGCCCAAGCAGAGACCCATCCCAGAGCCTCAGAGACCTGACCTCTTTCAACTTCGGTGATCTGAGCTCGAAGTCTTTTTTTTTTTTTTTTTCTTTTAAAATATTTATTTATTGGGGGACCAGCAGTTGGTGTAATAGCTATGTCGCTGGACTCCCAAGTAGTTGACCTCAGTTTGAGTCCCGGACCCTGGCTTAAACTCATACCAGATGCGTGTGCGTGCGTGCCCAAGATCTTGAGAGGAGAATGGAGAAGAAGGGATTGTGGCGTGGCCATCCCCCCTGGGGGATGATTTCTCACTTTCTGTCTCTCTCTCTTTCTGGCAAGCACACACGCCTTATAGCAAAAA